CGGTGGGAATTGTGGGTTCGAATCCCACCGGTGCCCTTAGATTTTTTCGCAAATTTTCTCACACACACTTCTCTTACCGATGATATGTGCTTACCTCTCAGTATGTTCAAACTTTCCTATAAACAATTAAATTGACTGCAAAGTCGCTAAACCGTAAATCAAAAAGTAAAAGTAATTGATATTCATCAACTACGGCCCGGTGGTCGGAGGTGAGGCCGGCAGCTCAAAATGTTAGAGTCATACTGTACTGGACATATTTCAGCATGTAAGATGAACAACATAAATGAGCTGTGTTTGTTCACATCGACTGATACTGAGTGGTTGCGGTACAAGCACATATCGTCGATAATAGACGATTGTTGTGTATCAGAGAACGCTTGCGCAAAGAGACTAGGGTGGGGAACGAATTCGAAACTCAAATGTCATTAGCTAAATACATCCGTAGACCATAGGTCCACCGTTGTATAATTGGCAATGCACCCGTGTACTGAATGGGAATTGTGGGTTCGAATCCCACCGGTGCCCTTAGATTTTTTTTTTCGCAAATTTTCTCACACACACGTCTCTTACCGATGATATGTGCTTACCTCTCAGTATGTTCAAACTTTCCTGTAAACAATTAAATTGACTGCAATGTCGCTAAACCGTAAATCAAAAAGTAAAAGTAATTGATATTCATCAACTACGGCCCGGTGGTCGGAGGTGAGGCCGGCAGCTCAAAATGTTAGAGTCATACTGTACTGGACATATTTCAGCATGTAAGATGAACAACAAAAATGAGCTGTGTTTGTTCACATCGACTGATACTGAGTGGTTGCGGTACAAGCACATATCGTCGATAATAGACGATTGTTGTGTATCAGAGAACGCTTGCGCAAAGAGACTAGGGTGGGGAACGGATTCGAAACTCAAATGTCATTAGCTAAATACATCCGTAGACCATAGGTCCACCGTTGTATAATTGGCAATGCACCCGTGTACTGAATGGGAATTGTGGGTTCGAATCCCACCGGTGCCCTTAGATTTTTTTTTTCGCAAATTTTCTCACACACACGTCTCTTACCGATGATATGTGCTTACCTCTCAGTATGTTCAAACTTTCCTATAAACAATTAAATTGACTGCAAAGTCGCTAAACCGTAAATCAAAAAGATGACTTTATCGTCATTGCAAAGTGCACAGTGGGGAATCGCTGGCCATTAGATAAAATTGGAAAATTTGCATTTCCTCCTCTATTCTATTTTTTTTTCTATCATCTTTATTATTTTTCGACAAAAATGGCATTATTACTCAATCAACTGGTGGTTTAACAGTTGCTTGGATTGAAATGACGTCTTAGAAAGTTGTTTTAAAAACAATGTAGAACAAATTTGCTTTATTAAATTTTGTGGAATATTATCATCATAAGTACATCTTTATTTGATTAAAAAAAAAAGTGATTTTTTCATAAAAATTAAGCTTCAAACTTATGAAGCCAGGGATTGCCATGGTTGACACCAATTGCAAAAGGTAGTTAAAAATGCAAAGTTTCGAATGAGCATAGCCTGATCTTGAGCAAACTTGCGCAGGATGCTGATAGTGCGAAATGAAAAAAAAAGTTATTTTTACTCAGGTGACATTCTACAATTTTAAATTTGAATCACGATCAGGAGATTGGTTGATTGCTCATTTTTAGTGCATAATAACAGCTAATTTTCCTTATCTACACATCATTCATAAAAAAAATTCTGTTATTAGGGACCATAAACTGTATTCACGTAATAGTTTATGGAAGCACAAAGAGTTCTAAGATTTTCTTACGTGCCATATTTTTTTCGGATTTGTTACAAAAAATGTAAGGAAGGGGTTGAAAATCATAAAAAAAATGTATGACGCATTTAGTGTACGACCCCCCTTAGGCTTAGTTTATCTCCTCCTAAGAACTTGAAAACAGCATCGAAAAATAAAAATTATTCAATTTACACCAAAACTGATCTGCAAAGGACCGTTTTTAGTCTGCATTATTTTTTGTGTTTTTCAACAAGCAGAGATAAGGCAGAGTCTTTAGTAAAATAAATAAGGAAAAGTGATCGACATATCATACCACTTCATCTCTCTCCCAAACAAAGTAGCAGCAGCAGTAAGAAGATATCAGCATCACTTTATCCATATTTTTTTACAAATACGTTTTATCGGTTTGAAGTTATTGTTATATCAGTTATCATCGAAATTAATTATGGAATCCAAATCAGCGATGGATACGGATACTGTAAATTCAAGTAAGTTGCCTTTTTGAGAACACATTAATTGCGATGAACTACTGTCTATACGAGAGTGATCGTCCGTACTAACAATATTTTTTTTTTGTGTGGGTAATTTCTTTAAGTTTTATGTCGTGAAATAGTGATCTAACATTTCGTAGTATCTTTTCAATACCGTCATAAAAATCGTTTTGTTTTCATTTAATCTAAAGGAAACGGACTAAAAAGAAAACAGATTTACGAAACATGAAACATCAAGAATCGCTAGAAAAGGTGAAATCAGCCGCGGAAAAATGCTTTCCTTCGCATGCGAATAAAGGGTTTGAGATTTTTTTGGAAAGCATGTAACAGAAAATTTCTACAATCCCAACGAAAGCGTGACCGCTTTGAGATGGAACATTTAGATTGATTTGAGGAATATGTAATACCACCATCTGATGCACCTTGGCGGCTAGCAAAATCAAAGCTTTTGAAGAATGCAGTGATCGATCGAAGCGGCACCGTACTGAAGAAATTAGAGCAAAATATTCGTCAAATCAATTAAGCTTTGCTGCGGAAATGAGTTTGCGTGCCGAAAACAATTACAAAGCAGCAAATTTAATTAAATGGGGTATTGATCTCAACAACCAAAACACTCAAATCACACCTGAGAAGGCGTTATCGATTGTAGAGATTTCTAAACTGACGAGATATAATTACAACATTATTAGGGAACCAGTAACAGACAGGTCTTAAGTTTAATGTAAGGAGTTTGTATGCAAAATACAATGGTTTTATTATTTCAGGTACCCACCGTACTACCAAGTAAAAGAGCGAAAAAAGAATGTTATCCCCCACAAAACGCATTTTTTGTCACAGTGCAATGTGAAGATTGATCTCCAAGCTATTCTAAATAAAACCAGTTAAAGGTTGATGCTGCTTCTAGAAAGTACTATTAAACCCCGATTGCAACATGGTAAGGAGGAGCATTTTACTTTGCGTATCACTTGACCTTCAAATGCTTGAGAAAATCTGGGTTTGAAACGAAGTTCGAGGCGAACAAGAAAAGAATTCAGGCAAGCTTCAAGAGAAAAATGGGTCTGATTGTCAAAAAACCGAAGCCAGGAGGATTCGGCAACAGCAACAGCTCGTAATTTTGTTTTGCCAATCCTGAATTCAGTTCCAAAATCACAGGAGTAGATTTGGAGTTGATTAAAAGACTTTGGAACATTCTAATTGCAATTTCTTGTTCCCAGCAAATAGACCCAGCTAAATTCAAAATTTACTATGTTGATACCGCGAAGCGCTACGTAGAGTTGTACGCTTGGTTTTACATGCCATCGTCGATGCACAAAATTTCGATTCACGGGCATAGCATTGCTCAGGTGGTGATATTGCCGATTGGAAGAATTACGGAGGAGGCTCAAGAAAAATGTAACAACGTCATTAAAAACACTAAAGAGCATTTCCACTCGGAAAGACAAGCATGAAAACACAAATTGGGATATTATTAATCGCCTTCTTATCAACACCGATCTAATGGTTAACTCTTATTATCAGAAGAGAAAACATAATTTTAAAAGTCTACCGGAGGAAGTTAAATTTCTGATCAAGACAAATATACTGACTCAAGCGATATGGTTCCAGAAGATGATGATGATGATGATGATGGTGAAAAATCAGAATTAGAAGAAGAATATGATGATGCTGATGATGAGGAAGAAGTTTAACTAGAAGGAAAATTCAAATTTTAATTTTTAATTTGTGTTGTTTATTTATAAAAACTTTATTATTAGGTAGGGTAAATGGATGTAATGTCGGCCTAAATGCCCCTAATTTGGGCCCATACATAAATTCAACAATCTACTAAATTAGTAACGTCCCAATCACGCGTTCATCTAGATTAAATTGATAAATAGTAGATTTTTAGCGATGGGCCCAATCTTAGATCCATAGGCCAACGTAAGAGCCATTTCCCCTATATTTTAAGCAAATGAAAAAAGTTTTCTAAGCATTGTTTAAAAACAAAAATCTTCATTGTATGACCATCATTCACAGTTACAGCGTATAAAAAATTTAACAAAAAATAAAATACAAAATCGTTTATAGCGTAAAAAATACAAGTTATAATTCAAAACATATTACATTTATGGATTCAGCACCATAAAATTACTCAAGAAAAATGATTTTTTTTTTAAATTTAGAGAATTATTTGCTTGGCCAGACTTTGTATGGAGTCGCCCCACTGTGCGACGCCAGGAAGGCACCTGGACCCTACCTATCTACCCATCAACTCATAAACCGGGGACCAACGACTTTACTTCCCTTCCGAAAGAAGGCGTGATCAGTGATGTTAAGCCTCAGAACATCCCGGTGGCGCTGACTGGGATTGAACCCAGGCCTGCTGGGGTGAGAAGTATTCACGCTTACCACTACACTACTGGCGCCACAGTACATTAACGTTAACGCCATTTAATCAATGGCATCAACAACATTGTCCCTAAGCGTTCGGAAAATGCTTATTAAGTCCGTATTGGCATGTACGTGTATATGTATTTTGAAAAAATTTTAGAATTAGCTTCTACAATAAGCCTTAAAATATTATTCTGAAAGAAGCTTTTAAAAAAAACCCCATAGTTAAAAAACCCACGCGGTAAAGTAACTTCGCACTAATTGAGCTTCTTTTTCAAGGTTCAGGGAGCATGTCACCGAAAAAATAGTTAATGTTACTGTTTTCATAGACCTGTTTATCATTGAAAATCATCTATTCTACATTTGCAGTTTATAGAGAAATTCCAGGAAGTAAAAGAGGCTACAAAAAATGCACTTAACAAGGCTTCTGCTAATGAAAATTCAACAGTTACTTCCGCAAATGCATCCCCTGTTACAGCACGTTCTTCAATGTCAAACAGTGACAGCTTCGACCCCAACAACGTTGATGTTCCGATTCCCGCAACTGGTAATGTTTCCTCGGTACGGAAGCTCTGCAATTCAATAAGATTTAAAATCAAGTGTCAAATGTATTTTTAATTTCAGAATATCAACACTGAGAGTCCTTCCCATCCTACTATCAATGATGCTCTCATCAATACGAATCCTCTCAGTATCGAACTTAAACAGACATCTATAAACTCATCATCTAGCGATGGCATGACACCTTCTTCTGCAGAACAACAACTCAAATATGAAAACGAACGGTTAAAGCTGGCTCTTGCTCAAAGGTAACGATTAACACTAAATACATGCATAAACTCTAATCCAGTCAGTAAGGTTTTATTGGGTTTTTGAATAGCGGAACTGTTCGGTAAAAGTTTATAAATCTGGCCAAAATTCAAAAATATTAAAATTTATTTCGAACTTGTACAGACTTAGTTCTGTTAACCCCATTTAATCATATATTATTTTATTAACGGATAACGGTCATTTGAATTTTTACCGACTTTTTCAGTTATACTGACTCTAATGGTGGTAAGCCCAACTCGGATTAACATTTAATCCCTTGCCTATTTGGATGATCTGCAAAATGTTTGCTTAGAGTAGTGTTGATTAAATCTGATGTTGACATCAGAGCAGCCGGACATTCTTTATCGGTATTTAAGCCGAGGATAATACCAGTTGGAGCTTACCACCATAAGTGTGTACATGGGGCAGTTTGGTCATCTTAAGTAAATCATCACTAATAACACCAAATTCAGTGTAAATTCGAATGATTTGCAACTCAATCAATAGTTCCAATCCCCTTATAGACTACCCGTCATAAGTATGGACTCGCATAGAACAATATTGCAATACTCATTTGAATATTGAGTTAAAATCCCTCTGAATCCCTTGAAAAGTTTATGATCACTCAAAGAAAATGTGTCTACGCGTTTGGAATTACTTCAGAAAGCACTGAAGCAGTGTTTTTAAACACTTCGGAATGTATTTCATAATAAAAAAAAAGTTTAGAATCATATCAAAACAGCTCGAAATCACTTCGTTCACTGAATCATTTGGAAACAGTTCGGAATCACTTCGGAAAGAACTGAATCGCTTCTTACAGTTTGAAATCACTTCGGAAAGTACTGAATCACTTAAGACAAAAATTGAATCACTTCGGAAAGTAGTTAATAACTTCCGAAATATTAGGAATTACTTATGAAAATACCGAGTCACTTCAAGAATGTTCGGAATTACTTCGAAAAGGACTGGACCGCTTAATATAAGTTCGGAATCACTTCAGAAATTACTGAATAACTTATGAAAAGTTCAAAATCACTTCAGAAAAGTTTAGGCTCACTTCGGAAAGTGCTGCATCACTTCAGAAATGTTATCAATCACTTCGGAAAGTACTGAATAACTTCGGAATGTATTGTATCACTTTAGAAATATTCAGAATCACTTCGTATCGTACTGAATTGATTCAGAAAAGTTTTGAATCACTTCAGAAAGCACTGAATAACTTTAGAAATGTTAGGAGTCACTTTAGGAGTACTGAACTTAAAAAAGTAACAGGTTGTATCCAAAACACGACCGTAAAGCAACAACTCGCGTGGTCTTTCTTTTTTTGTTAAATGAAAGACAGTGCAATTCCATTTCTACTGTATGGAAAAAGCTCTTTGATGAATCATTTATCCTGAGGTTGGAACTGTGCTCGTCCGCACCTAGCAAACCTCGAATAATAACTCATCAGAACAACTGCCCCGATTCTTTATTCTTCGAAACCTTTTATACATGAATTTGTTACATAAACTCTACACAATAGTTTTTCTCCAGCGAGACAGATAGTTTTTCTCTTGGAAAGTCGGTGTCTGCTTTTTTTACAAGAATTGATGCTCCCCGCGGTAGGAACGGCTATGTAAGATGTTTAATGTTTACTTTGACCTTTCGCGAAGCACCAAGTTAAGCCAGCGCGCACCGCAGACGACGCGGTAGCAACTGTTTATAAACAACTTACCCCGGAAATGTGCGACATTGTCCTACCGAATACAATTACTGCATGAGTAACGGGGTCTATTACTGGTTAATTTCTTACTCAGATTGATATTGGAATTTGAGGCCTTTGCATCCCCTCTTACTTAACCAACTTGAGAATAATATCGAAGAGATTCTTCTCAAAGATATGCGCTGGTAACTATTCTATATTTGCTAAATTTTTTAATGGATCTTCTTATTATGGTTCTTACTCCTACTGTGCCTTTCTTAAGACCCTACTTTGTACTATTCAGTATTATTCAGTCGATCATACTTTAACTAAATTTTGTCATTTGGCTAAATCATCTGTGTTAACAAGTTTTATCATGTTAGCCTCTAATGGACACCTTATGCAACGTTTGTTTGATTCGAAAAAAAACGCGTTTTGCTGATATGAAAATTTGCCTATCTATGCCTTACGTTAATTATGCGTTTAGTTGAGTTATACCATTCTTGTTGCAATTGATATTTAATGTTAACATTGTATAGAACCATTACGAATAATTCACTATAAGGATTGATGTTAGAATTTGAGGTTGTTGCATCCCCCCTTACTTACTGAGCTTGAGAATCATTTTGCAAAAAATATTATCAATAAGCTTGAGTTGGTAATCTTCGATTTGAAAATTTCGCGTTTTCTTGTTGCCGTATTTCTCCTAACCTTAGGGTGATCCTCAATTGTACCTTTCGTAAAAGCTCCTTCGTTTCTGCTCGTTCACCCATGCGATTGAAAACTGTTCCTGACTCGTCATTTGGTTGATATCAAATATCAGGTGTGAGTGTATCTGCCATTCTCCGCCATCTATGATTCGTTGTTTGCCGCATTCAGGTTACCCTTCATCGTCTTTCATATCTATGTCTTGTACTGATCGCATCTCGTCATTATGTATGTTTCTGTTGGAAACTTTTTAATGCTATTTAGAACTTCAACTTTCTCTATGATCTAGTATGATTCCATATCTTCGATGATTTTCGTTATAAGATGTGAACTTGTTTTGGAATTTATCCACGACTGTTTTCTATCTGTGTTTATATATGCAGCTAGTCAATTTACTGTTTGTGCCATAATATGCGTTAGTTGTGTACTTGATTGTGCTTCATTGCCATTTTTGAGTTTGATGTTTAATTATGTTATATCAAACGTTACGTTGTATGTTCTGTAGTTTTATGATGATGTTTGCGAAACCGTTGCTGAAGTAGTTTGTCATTTTAGATGCTGTGTGATGAGCTTATGCCAAAGATTGCTCATCTATACAGTATAATGTGTTGATCAATTCTGTTATCCTCGATAAACCACTCGATTCCATCTTCCTGTTCCTTATACTTTTCCGATGATTCTACCCAACACCGTCGATCTTCAATCTTCCGCTTGATTTGTCTTTAGATTGTCATCTAGCCATTGTGAATGTGACTCTTCCTTCACTGTTGACCGTCTCTGAGATTCGCCACCTGGTACATCCACGGATATCCAAAATCGATTTTCCCTTTTAAACTGTATCATCAATAATTTTCTTTTGGATAATTTTTTTTATCAATTTTACTTTAAAACTTTGGTATATTCAAATTAGTTTTTACTCATCATTTGAATCAACTATTTTTTTTTATCTTGGTTTACATACTTTGATATAGGGTTTTTGATCTAATTTCCGTCCTACTAAGCACATCCCGCACTTTCTCTCTCTTTTTTAAAAGGGTTTGAACAAAACATGAAATGTTTTCATAAAAGATAACTTCTAAATTTATTCACCTTTCCATACGTACCGTTGGATTTAATAAAGAGTCAAACAATGTTGAGATATTATTAAAAATCTAACACTGTTTCTTGATTCCAAATTCGTCCTACGAGTTTCAATTCCGTCCTAACGCATTGAAACGCCATTAGATTTTCTTCGTCCTACGGATGATGGTAGAAAAAGTGGAGTCGCTAGGAACGCTTCTTTTGTTTTGAGAACAATGAGTGTAAATATTCATACAATGCGCTGTAATAGGCTTCATGTGGCTTACGAACTAACGGATCGGAACAAACGTATTATTGATTTGTGCACGGTGAAATCATTGATATTATTGATGATTTCTGCTCGATAGAACAAAGATGGGCGATTACGACGAAGTAGCGCTGTTCCCTAATTGACATGATATGATTAATAATATTCTTCGTTAGTTGCTTGCTGCTCTTATTTTTTTCAATTTCATATTTTCATCTACACAATAGATAATCGGTATACTATCTATTTGCAGCAAACAAATTCACAATTAATTACTTTAACTGATCATTCTTATCTGATTGTCGATATTACACTTCTTGTTTTACTCTTAACTTTTGTTCCTTTGTGTCATACTTCTTATTCTGATATCTTTCATGTTTTGCTAGTATTTTTATTTTATTACCCTACTTTTTCTCTTCGCTTAACTCTTTTTGTATGTAGTTGTAACTCACCAATTAATCAAAGCATCTGAATGGCTACGTCATGAAATTGCAGCAATTACTCTCGTTCTCCTAATGAGGTTTAAAACGGCACGTATCTGTAATTCGATTCATCTATGCTCGATTCCAGGTTCCTCTGGCCATACGTTTAACTTTTTATTTAGTCAATTCAATTAATGTCTTGTAAGTGGCCAAATTGCTGCAAGTGCTCGTCTTCGCTAATTGAGTAGAAACGGTGGGTATCTGTAAGTAAACTCAAATTTCAGTTAAACTTATTCATAAATTCTCGTGCATTCTGGATTCCGAATGCCATTGTCCAATTGTTCATCTCCAGATCTGTAACGGTCTGTAAAAAATAAAACGGCCTTTAATAAATTGTCAACCGTCACCTCATTTACGACTCTGGGATCATTTACAGTATATTAATACTGTGTTTTGACGGTATTTTCCGTTCAAAATTGTTTTGTATTCAATCTCGCTGTGAGATTCTAGTACACAGTTAGTCCAAAGCGCTTTGTAGGTACAATATTCTTGTCCACTTTGATCTTGTTTTTCACCGTTTTTTTTTCATCATTGTCATTAGTATTATTTTTCAACGTGTTATTTTTTTTTATGAAATTATTCTATAAATCTGTTTGTAACAGTTTTTCAGTAATTTAACCAATTTGGTGTGCTGTAATGTCAATCCTTAGCTCTTCGATCCATTCAAAATCGTACTGCAAAATATTTTGCTCTTTTTTGATGAATACATTTGTTTTATTAGCTGAATAATTCAATTACTGCATCTTGAAATAAAAAACACAGGATGTGTACTGTTACGCAGTCAATCAACTAATAAAAATG